TTAAAAATTAATTAAAGAATTTAAACTTATATTTTATATAATAATAATAAAACATTTTATTACGTCAAACCGTCGTGAAATAATTAAATAAAATTTGCTAGTTACGTCAAAGTCAAGTTTTCTAAGCTTATAAAACATTTTATTAAAAAACAGATTCAATAAATATAAGTACATGTTATATATATACTTATATTTATTGAATCTGTTTTTTTTATAAAATGTTTTATTATTATCATATAAAATATAAATTATTTAATTATTTTTTTATTTTTTTATGAGTAATTTAATTTATTCTAGTTATTTTTGTACGAGAAAAATACTATCACGGGTATACGTTTTATAACAAATTAAATATATTTATGTTCAAAAATTATATTTGACCTTTAATTTTAATTTTGTATTTTATTAAAATTAATAATTAACATATATACTTAATTGCGAATTATATGGATGAACAAAATCCCTATTATGTGTGTAAGAGATTTCGGAACTCTTTGCTAAAATAATTAAAATTAAAAGTCAAATATAATTTTTGAACACTTTTATATTATTAAAAATATATAATTCGACTCTCGAAATATATTAATTCATTATAAAACGTATACGTATTAGTATTTTTCACATATTAAAATGATTAGAATAAATTAAATTAATTATTAAAAAACTAAAAATTAATTAAACGACTTAGACTGAGATGATAATAATAATGAAACATTTATTAAAAAATAATTATAATAGGTCAGGTTAATATTTTATTTATTTATTTATTTATAACATCATAAAATTCTGTCCTTTCCGAAATACGCGAACGCTACGAAAAGATAAATCTCGTACATGCCGCCGGACGAGTTCATGAGCATGAGACGCTCTTATCTTGGGAACGTATTAATAGTTACTGCATTGACCACTACTACAATATGGCGCTGAAATCAGTGAGAAATGCTGGTCTCTCCTTCATCCAGACCTTTGGCGATCTGTCTATTAATCTGTGGCACAGATTAATAGACAGATCGCCAAAGGCCTGCCTAAAGAAGAGACCGCCATCTTCGTGCGATAGACTTTGCCCCTTACCGACACACTTTGCCCCTGGTTCGAGTCCGTGCTAAATTCGTAGACTTGAACCAAAAGACTTTGCCCCTGGTTCGAGTCCGTGCTAAATTTCGTAGACTCGACCAAAAGACTTTGCCCCTGGTGCAAGTCCAGGCTAAATTCGTTTGACATTACCAACAGACTTTGCCCCTGGTGCGAATCCAGGCTAATTGATCATGAGACCAATTTGAGAGATTTGGCCCCCGTGTGTGTGTGTGTGTGTGTGTGTGAGAGAGAGAGAGAGAGAGAGAGAGAGAGAGAATATTTTACATATATGCATATATATATAAAATTTATTAAATATAAAAAATATATTTTTTACACATAAAATGTTTTTTTATTGAAATAATCACGATTTTAAATGTGATATAACACAGTGTTCAAAAATTTTTTAATTAAATTTTTTAATTAAATTTTATTAAAGAAAATTACTTGAAATTTTTTACATTAAGAATTTAAAGGCTCCTTATTCTCTTGTAGAAATTTATCACTACGCCAATTAATCACTTATTTTGAGTATTTAAAATACTATAATATACAGTAATTTAAGTATTCGAAATAAAAGTGATTAATTACTCGAAATAAGTGATAAATTGGCGTTACTAGTAATAAATTTCTATAAGGGTTGAAATAAAGTATAAGAGATAAATAGGCTATATGTGAGCCGTATGCGAAATGTGAGATGTAAGACGCATATTGAAATTTAATTTTTCGATATAACTTTCAAAAATGTACACGAGGTACAAAAAATTAGCTTGGACATTTGTAAGACTTAAAATTGGGATTAATTCTCAATTCTATTAATTAAATTTCGATATAACACACCTTACATCCGCGCACGGCTCACATATATATAGCCCATTTATTAGTGCAATTTTTAAGTTCCTTATTTTTCAAAGTTCACCTTTTTACGTTATCAATATTTTTTTACGTTTTCAAGAATTTTATATTTTTACTTACCGCAGTTTCTTATCCAAATGTAAAATCTTTTATCGCAGTCTATAAAAAATTGAAACAATTTACAATTTTATGATATAATATTATTATTATTACAATTTCTATATATATGCACATCTGTCAAATATCGTGATTTATTTCACATTATTATTATCTAAAAAAAAAAAAAAAACAAAAACACTTGCAACAATCAAAAATAAACCGCCTGCCGCGAACGGAAAATGCCAAGAAAGCACGCAATTTCCGCGAATCTCGTAATTTTTTTGAAAAATCAACAATTTCAACGAAATTGTAAATTCTTCAAATCACTGCACAAGTATAATTCACAATAATAATTTTCAGTAACTACGATAAAAAATCGTATACTGAAAACCGCAAACGAAAGTGCAATGGGAGTAAGAGTAAAGTCTGTGATAAAATTAATTGGCAATAGAAAATTAATAATTTTCAAATAGAAAAATTTTGAAATTACCGAGGATTTACAAATAATAAAGTAAAAATATTAAATAATTTATGTTTTCGAATTTTGCTCGCGGAGAGGATCTTTAAAACAAGATTTTTAGAAGAGAGGACCTTTAAAATATAAACAGGCAAAAACGTTGGAAAAATTAAAGCGCGCGTTTAAACAGATAAACGCAATGAAATAAATACGCAATTGTTTTTACTTATCGCTGTAAGCTCACAAGCTTCTGACGTGCTATACACTTTTATATAATATATACAAGGTGTCCGGTAACTAACGGACCAATGATTAAGGGCGGATTCTCTGGCCAATTTGGAGACGATTTTTCCTTAGCAAAAATGTTGAGAAGTCAATAATTTTCGAGTTATAAGCGATTGAAAAAAATAGGTTTTTTGAAAACTAAACGTTTTGGAGTTAAAAGTCTAACATAATTACATTCTTCAGTTAATTTCAGGTAGAGTTTACTATAATAAAATTTTAATTTAAGGCTTAGTTATAAAGATACATAATGACAAAGATTGGAAAGTTGTAAAAAATGATGACCTTTTTCGACATTTTCGCTGAGGAAAAATCGTTCCCAAATTGACCAAAGAATCCATTTGTAATCATTGGTCTGTTAGTTACCGGACACCCTGTATATTGGACACGAGTTTCGTTTGTTTCAGATTCTCGAGAGTTGAAGTAGGAACATACGAGTATCATATATCGTTTGTGACTTGCCGAATGAAAGCAAGACAGAGAGCGAACGAGATGATGAGCTTAATAGCTCATAATGTTATAAATAAATAAATAAAAAATTATAACCTGACCTACTAGTTATTGAATCTTTTTTTAATAAAATGTTTCATTATTATTATCATCTAAGTCTAAGTCGTTTAATTACTTTTTAGTTTTTTAATAATTAATTTAATTTATTCTAGTCATTTTTATATGAGAAAAATAATATCACGTATACGTTTTATAATGAATTAATATATTTCGGGAACCGAATTATATATTCTTAATAATATAAAAGTGTTCAAAAATTATATTTGACTTTTAATTTTAATTATTTTATAGCAAAGAGTTCCGAAATCTCTTACACACATAATGGGGATTTTTTTCATCCATATAATTCGCAATTAAGTATATATGTTAATTATTAATTTTAATAAAATAAAAATTAAAATTAAAGGTCAAATATAATTTTTAAACACAAATATATTAAATTAATTATAAAACGTATACCCATGATAGTATTTTTCTCGTACAAAAATAATTAGAGTAAATTAAATTAATCATAAAAGATTAAAAATTAATTAAAGAATTTAAACTTATATTTTATATAATAATAATAAAACATTTTATTACGTCAAACCGTCGTGAAATAATTAAATAAAATTTGCTAGTTACGTCAAAGTCAAGTTTTCTAAGCTTATAAAACATTTTATTAAAAAACAGATTCAATAAATATAAGTACATGTTATATATATACTTATATTTATTGAATCTGTTTTTTTATAAAATGTTTTATTATTATCATATATAATATAAATTATTTAATTATTTTTTAATTTTTTTATGAGTAATTTAATTTGTTCTAGTTATTTTTGTACGAGAAAAATACTATCACGGGTATACGTTTTATAACGAATTAAATATATTTATGTTCAAAAATTATATTTGACCTTTAATTTTAATTTTGTATTTTATTAAAATTAATAATTAACATATATACTTAATTGCGAATTATATGGATGAACAAAATCCCTATTATGTGTGTAAGAGATTTCGGAACTCTTTGCTAAAATAATTAAAATTAAAAGTCAAATATAATTTTTGAACACTTTTATATTATTAAAAATATATAATTCGACTCTCGAAATATATTAATTCATTATAAAACGTATACGTATTAGTATTTTTCACATATTAAAATGATTAGAATAAATTAAATTAATTATTAAAAAACTAAAAATTAATTAAACGACTTAGACTTAGATGATAATAATAATGAAACATTTATTAAAAAATAATTATAATAGGTCAGGTTAATATTTTATTTATTTATTTATTTATAACATCATAAAATTCTGTCCTTTCCGAAATACGCGAACGCTACGAAAAGATAAATCTCGTACATGCCGCCGGACGAGTTCATGAGCATGAGACGCTCTTATCTTGGGAACGTATTAATAGTTACTGCATTGACCACTACTACGATATGGCGCTGAAATCAGTGAGAAATGCTGGTCTCTCCTTCATCCAGACCTTTGGCGATCTGTCTATTAATCTGTGATATAGCCCTATTAAAATGCAATAAATTATGTAATATGTAATTGTAATAATGTATTGCAGTTACTTTGCAAAAAGAAAATGTTATCGAAAATATAGATAAAGAACAGAAATATATATCTGATTATAGTAATTAGTTTCAAAATTTTAATAGCATAAATAATTTTACCCATTAAAATTTAAGAGATTTATTGAATAACAAAACAAAATCATAAAATTGTTTCTTAAAGATATTTAAATAAAAATTCAAGTAAAAGATGATTACATCGCATAATGCAACAATGTTCTTTACAATTACCTATGTATTATGTATTGTTTACAGAATAACTTGTTTTGCACAAAATACACATTCATCTCATTCTCTCTCAATTCTATTCTCATCTCAGATTCATTCATTTTATATACTATATAGCATTTCATAAAATCATAATATAACTTAACTATTTTCATTGTTATTGGTACAAATCATTTTACAATCATACTATTGTATGTTAAGACATTCAAGCCGTTTTGTAAGAATTGAAATTATTTTTCTTTTATAGACATAATACTTTTGTTTTTTAATTTCTAATTTGTCTATTGTTCGCACAAATCATCGAAACTGATTTTATATATAATAAATTACTCTTTTAAGAGAGCAAAAAACAGCAGATACTTATACAAGTGTGTGCAAAATGGAATCTTTTTTTTTTTTTTTTTTTTTTTTTACAAAGTATGAATTATCTAATTATAATTAGTTTTTCTCCTCCTTCTTCTCGCCTTCAGGTTCCTGTTGTGACTGATTTTGGCTTTCTCTTTCTGCTGCCATCTGTAAAATCAACATATTTAAATAATAGTTCTTGAGATGTACATAGCACTGTAATCGCGTATATTATAATTTTTATATAAACATACCTTCTTGTATGCCATCTCAAATAGCTTCAAGCTCGCTTGCTGGAGTTCGTTCGTTTGTTTCTTTATTTCTTCAGGCTCAATATCATCTTTCTTAGCCAAGATCTCTCGTAGTTTGGCAACTAATTCCTTAAGTTTATCGCACTATAAAATAGAAAAAAGTAAATATAAAGATATTCACATATAAAATGTTAAAAACAATTATTAATATTATACCTCTTCTTGTGGTAATTGTGCTTTAAATTCTTCTAATTTCGATTCTGTATCATGTATAATTCCTTCTGCTTGATTAACAGCTTCAACTCTTTCCTTTTTAACTTTATCTGCCTTTGCATATTGCTCAGCATTTTTAACCATGTTTTCAATTTCATCTTTGCTAAGGCCACCACTAGATTGAATAACAACTGTAATAAAAAATCAGAGTTAGACTAAAATGATAACTTATATAGAAAATACCTTATTATTATTAAAACGACTCAGTTATGGGAATCCACATGTTTACTCAATTTTAAAGTAAACTTCGGAGACGAAAAATATAAGCATCATTGTGTTACTGATTCTTTTTCATACACATATAAAATATATTATAGAAAAGTTACATACTTTGTTGTTCTTTCCCAGTTCCTTTGTCTCTGGCTGATACATGCACTATACCATTCGCATCGATATCAAATGTTACTTCTATTTGTGGTACACCTCTTGGGGCAGGTGGAATGCCAATAAGACTAAACTGTCCCAGAAGTTTGTTATCATTAGCCATTTCTCGCTCGCCTTGGTGAACTTTAATCTCGACTTGAGTCTGACCATCTGCTGCTGTAGAAAATACTTGACTCTTCTTTGTAGGTATAGTTGTATTTCGAGAAATTAATCTTGTGAAGACACCACCAAGTGTTTCAATACCTATACAGAAATATTTAAAATGTGATTTTTTGGTTTAATTAATACATAATGCAACTTCATTTATAAAGTTAAATAATTAAAAACTCAGCAAATCAATGTCTTCATATATCATCAGAGAGAAGATTAGTCTAATACATCATAGTTTTATATATATAAACACAATAATAGAACGATTTAAATAATAATTTACCTAATGACAAAGGAGTAACATCAAGAAGTAGAACATCTGTCACATCTCCTGCAAGTACACCTCCTTGAACTGCAGCACCAACTGCTACAGCTTCATCTGGATTTACAGCTTTTGATGGTTGTCTACCAAATATTTCTTGAACTGTCTGTTGTACTTTAGGAACCCTAGTCATGCCACCAACCAATAAAACTTCACCAATATCAGATTTTGTTACTTCGGCATCAGAAAGCGCTTTCTGACATGGTTGAATTGTACGTTTAATCAGATCATTTACTAGACTCTCAAATTTACTTCTGGATAGCTTAAGATTCAAGTGTTTTGGTCCACTAGAATCCATAGTAAGATATGGTAGATTTATATCCGTTTGGAGAGAACTTGACAATTCAATTTTAGCCTTTTCTGAAGCTTCTTTCAATCTTTGCATTGCCATTGCATCTTTAGTTACATCTATGCCTTGCTGTAATATTTAATAAAATTGTTAATTGATATTGATTTTAAATTTATTTCAATGTAATAACTAATTTTATTTAGTTGCAAAATACGTGTGTATACCTCTTTTTTAAATTCAGATACAAGGTAATTAACTAATGCATTATCAAAATCCTCTCCTCCCAAGAATGTATCTCCATTTGTAGATTTTACTTCAAAAACGCCCTTTTGGATTTCTAAAATTGAGATATCAAAAGTACCTCCACCTAAATCATAAACAGCAATGCTGAAAAAACAAAAGAACAATACAAATAAATCACATCTATTTTCCCTTTTACAAAATATATAAAATATTATCGCACAGCTTTCAGAAAAATATCTCAATATGTTTAAGATACATGGATTTTTCAAAAATAAGAATTATATTTACACAACGCTTTTCAAGTCTTTTCATATTATATAAATCAATTTAAATATAATTTTCTTACATTTTATCTTCCTGTTTATCCATGCCATATGCAAGTGCAGCTGCAGTTGGTTCGTTTATAACTCGAAGAACATTCAATCCAGCTATTTGTCCAGCATCTTTTGTTGCTTGTCGTTGTGAATCATTGAAATATGCTGGTACAGTAATAACAGCATTTTTTACCGGAGTATTCAAATAAGCTGCAGCCGTTTCCTTCATTTTCATAAGTACAAATGCTCCTATTTGACTGGGAGAGTACATTTTTCCATCAGCACCTTGTACCCATGCATCTCCGTTGGATGCTTTCACATTTTATATGTTACACTTTTCCTATAAAAATAATATTATATAATAGTAATAATATTAGCAAATATAATTATATTATAATAAACTGTGTAAATATAAATATGATGCTTACATATCCTTTTTTACTTCAGGATCTTCATATCTTCGTCCAATTAATCGTTTTGTTGCATAAAATGTATTAACAGAATTTGTTACTGCTTGACGTTTGGCAGGCATGCCAACTAAGCGTTCATCATCTGAAGAGAAAAATTTATTTATTGCAAAGAAAAATCAAATAGACAATGGTTAAATTAAATGAATACAAAATTAAATTAAAAATATTCCAAAAATTGTTTCTTTCCCATTGTACTCATTTTATAAATAATTGTAATTCATAGATTACAATATAAAAAAAATTAATAAACTTTTAAATATATTATTTGATAATAAAATTACCTTTCGTAAATGCAACATAAGAGGGAGTGGTCCTAGAACCTTCTGCATTTTCTATAACTTTAGCTTGTTTGCCTTCCATTACTGCTACACAGGAGAATGTAGTTCCAAGATCGATACCAATAACTGCACCTTTTACACCTTCGGATCTATAAAAAATGTTTTAAATGTCTTAAACTTATTCTAAATCAGGGAAAAATATATAATTGATATATATTTCTTTTCAATTACTTACTTATGTCGATACTGTTGTAAATCGGTAAGTCGATGTGATATAGTAACCGTTGAAGCTGCAACCTATAAAATATTAATATAAATTTATAAATATACAAATAAAAAATAATACAGAGTTGTTACATAATCAACAAAATTATTTTATCACAGAAGATCGTATACGATTATTAAAAATTTTGTAGAATAAGTTAGAGAAAACGAATACAATTACAAATACTCAAGAAAGACATTAATATATATATATTATATACATTTTTTTTAAACAAATGAAGCAATATTGATTTTATCACAAAAATATATTTTCATTGTAACCAGGTAGATTTTGTTATAGAAAAAAATCTATGTAATAAAACTATCTTGAAGCGAATAATGTGATCAATTATATTAAATAATAGTAATAAAATACAAAAGTACAGAGAAAATCGAGCATATTAAAAAATCTAAAAGCGTTTGCGAGGCGTGAGGTCCACTCACGTGCCGGCTTTAAAATCGGCGTCATGGTGGAATTAGGTGTGGCGAAAACTTATTGCGATGCGTAATCGCGAAATAATCCAGAATCTATCGCATAAGACAAAAAGCGCTGCCAATAAAGACGCATCTCACGTTAAACGACGTGCAATTAGCGACGTGCAAAGGCTAGGAAAAAATCCGCGATGATGTTGCTCTACAGTACTCACATTTTTCAAAATCGTGCTGAATTGTTGCTTCCTCGCGATCTCACACGCGACACCGACGTAATTGCGGTTCAGTAATCTCGCGGTCAACATCTTTTTTCCTTTCGATACAAACTTAATAAGGAATCGGCAGAAAACGGCGGTATTCTTCCAGCTTCACGTGTAATGATGCAACTCCCGTGAAGACCTGCACAGAAATACCATACCAAAGGTCTGGATGAAGGAGAGACCAGCATTTCTCACTGATTTCAGCGCCATATCGTAGTAGTGGTCAATGCAGTAACTATTAATACGTTCCCAAGATAAGAGCGTCTCATGCTCATGAACTCGTCCGGCGGCATGTACGAAATTTATCTTTTCGTAGCGTTCGCGTATTTCGGAAAGGACAGAATTTTATGATGTTATAAATAAATAAAATATTAACCTGACCTATTATAATTATTTTTTAATAAATGTTTCATTATTATTATCATCTAAGTCTAAGTCGTTTAATTAATTTTTAGTTTTTTAATAATTAATTTAATTTATTCTAATCATTTTAATATGTGAAAAATACTAATACGTATACGTTTTATAATGAATTAATATATTTCGAGAGTCGAATTATATATTTTTAATAATATAAAAGTGTTCAAAAATTATATTTGACTTTTAATATATGTGATATAATAAAAGGCCAACTTAACGATCAATCAAAATTAATATTTGTCGCTAGTGGTGAAAATAAGCTTAAACGACTTGACGACGACGTAACTAGCATTTTTATTTGATTATTTCACAATATTTCACATATTGTGAAATAATCAAATAAAATTGCTAGTTACGTCGTAGTCAAGTCGTTTAAGCTTATTTTCACCACTAGCGACAAATATTAATTTTGATTGATATTAATTTTAATTGATTGTAGACTAATTTACTTTCAATTATATGCTACTGTTATTATTTATCATTAGACAATTATAAAACACATATATATATATATATATATATATATACTAATATATACTAATATAATATATACTAATTTACTTTCAATTATATGCTACTGTTATTATTTATCATTAGACAATTATAAAACATATATATATATATATATATATATATATATATGTGTTTTATAATTGTCTAATGATAAATAATAACAGTAGCATATAATTGAAAGTAAATTAGTCTACAATCAATTAAAATTAATATCAATCAAAATTAATATTTGTCGCTAGTGGTGAAAATAAGCTTAAACGACTTGACTACGACGTAACTAGCAATTTTATTTGATTATTTCACAATATGTGAAATATTGTGAAATAATCAAATAAAATTGCTAGTTACGTCGTAGTCAAGTCGTTTAAGCTTACAATTAGTCTACAATGTTAGACACGGGTACTTGTTAGATTTGATAATTTATTGCTTATATTTTTTCGAGAGACAAGAATAAGAGAACGAATATAAATTATTATTAGCTTGTATAGCAATCATAGATTGACGAATATGCGTTGGTTATTCTTGATTTCTTTTCTATTATTGATGTTATTGTATAATTTGCTCCATAAATACTTATAACATAAAAGAACTTATGTCGAGTAATATTGATCAATGCAGTAAATTATTAGAGTTCAAATATATCAATATCAATTTTTTAATAATATATTGGAATACAGAGAAATGATAAAAAAATATATTTCGGCAATAAAAATTTTATAAATATATTGAAAATATTTTTACTACACGCGCGCGTGCGCACACACACACACACCCACATACACACTATATAAATGCAAAATAATACTGTAGATAACTATAAATATATAGAAAATTAATTAATTATAATATATAAAATTGATGTAACTCGTGAATAATACAAATATTTAAATTTCAAAAATATTTTTAGGATTACTCGATCAGCGGCTTAATGGGACATTGTTATTTTGAAAAGTGCGATTTTGTAGAAGCTATTCGCTGCTACGAATTTTCTAACGCGATGTATAATCGACCGGACGATTTGCATCTCGTACAAACGAGGTAAAAATGTTTGTCTCGTTGCATTACGTAAGATGATTGAAAGAGAAGACGAGTTATTAATGACAGCATTACACAATGTCGATAGAATGGGACTGTATTACAAAGATATTGGCAGTTACGAGCGCGCGTTAAAAGTTTTCCTCAACGCATGCCAGACTTCACCGACGGCAGAAACGTGGCTAGGTGCGGGAATCGCTTTTTACGAGGTAAATTCAATAATAAAAATAAAATCCAATAATAATAATGCAAATAATATGAAATTAAGATAAGGCCCGTGTATAAATTAAAATCAAACAATCCAACAATAAGCCAACTTGCGGGCCAAAAGATTAAGAAGTTACAAGATTCTTTATTAAAGATATAAAATAAAAAATAATATAAAATATAATAGAATTAATCCAATTAAATAAACAAGTAAACGTTTCGATAGTATAACTATCTTCTTCAATACAATGGTAACAGGAAACTTTAATTTCCTGTATCTCATCAACTTATCATCACGTTCTATAACGGTTTCGTTATCACAAGGACAATTTTTACAATGAAGGAAACAACTGCGGAATTCTCATGACTTGTTACATATTACATTTTTAACACACTGACGATTCCCGGATCACAATATTTAGACGTTTGAAAAATGTGAATCTAAAGAAATCTGATTTTATGCGTTTACCATCGATAAAAATTAGAATTATCAGCGCCTTATTTTAATGGGATTTGTAGCGTAACCATAACGATAGTCGTATCATGTTGTGGTATATGTGTTGTTATTTTAAAAATCTGTAATTAGTTAATTTCGTACAGTTAGATATAGATTCTTTCTTTCTAATAAGTTTGAGGATGTAAAGAATTTTTAATGTAAGAATATTTCTTAAATTTATTGTTATTTATTTATTAAAGAAGATAGTTGTACTGTCGAAACGTTTACTTGTTTATTTAATTGGATTAATTCTATTATATTTAGTATTATTTTTTATTTTATGTCTTTAATAAAAAATCTTGTAACTTCTTAATCTTTCGGCTCACAAGTTGGCCTATTATTGGATTGTTTGATTTTAATAAAATTCAAGCTTCTGAAAAATAAAATTGCTAATTAAAAAAAATTATATTACAAAGTAAATCGCATATGAATGTTTTAAAAATTATTTTTATACATGTCCCTAACAGCACACATGTCCGAAAGACATTTAGAGGATATCCAGAAGATATAAAAAATATCCTTGAAAAAACATAATGAAAAAATAATATCTATAAAAATAATTAGTTGCAGCGATTTACGGAAGCGGAGGCAGCTTTATCAGAAGCGAATCAAATCGACAATCGTAACGTGACTGTTTGGAAGTACTTATGTCTGTTAAATATGTCTTTGCAACGTCACGATGAATTCGTTCAGTGCCGGACACAGATCGCTCAGGTGAAATGTTATTAACAAGAAGCGTTGATTGAGGTTTTTGCTGTTTTTCAGTGATATGTTGTCGTTGTCTCGTAGGACGATACGACTTTCTCTTTAGAAAAACGGTCCCTCAAACCGCGAGATGGAAAACTGGTCATGCTCTAAATGCAGCCACGTAAATACATATAAGCTTCTCCTCTCCTTAATTCGGAGATTCAGTCAGCTATTCTACGACGATCACGATGAGATTATTGGTGAGTCAGACCGCGGACTATATGCAAATACAGCATGTTTTGCAACTAATGATACAACGGGAAGATAATAATTTTATAGAAGATACGAAAATTCTATAAAATAACATATACACACATAAGTCAAAAATGTAAAATGAAATTTTTTATATAAGGCTACTTATTTACGCGAAAATTATATAATAACATATTGACGACTTTTTAAACTTGAACAATTTTTCGTTACATTTTCGAATTCATCACTCATTTCGCGATAGTGATTGTTAATATATAGACATAAAAACCAACATTTTCTCACCCCTATTTACTAAAATAATAATTAAAATTATTAAAAAATGTACATAAAAGTATCTAAAGAAATTAATTTTTTTAATAGAGTAAATACACAATTTTTTATACAAATTTTTTAAATAGTCACGAAATAAAAAAATGTATATAATCGTTAGAGATCATTTAAATTAAAAAGAATTTTCCAATTTTCAAAATTTAAAGTCGATTTTTCTGAAAAATAAAGTCTCGTTTAAAAAAAATTTTATTCTATATTTTCAATTTATTTTTGTTTCATGTAGCATCATTATCTTTTCTGTATCATTAATTATGAAAGACATCTGCATTTTTAAATCTTTTATCTTTAGCTGCAATTTCGCAATAATATTCATAATGCGGAATAGAATATTGAGTCACATATCAAATGATTAATACTTTTTGTGTGTAGTGTACGCTATTTATACTCAGTCTGCTTCAAATAGTGATGTTTACTGCGATGATAAATTGCGATGAATCAAGAAGCGTTATACGTCACAAAATTGGAAAAAAAGGTAATATCGCAGACTGTGCGGCAATAATATTATAAAACACGAAAGCGCTTGCGTTGATAAAATAGTGCAAAATAATAAAAAGAAAAAGATGCAATTTCTTTCGATATTAATAATATATTTTAATAATAATATATTTAATAATATATTTTAATAATAATATATTTAATAATATATTTTAATATAATATTAAAATAACATTAAAATTAATAAGCAAGATGATAGGAAAGATTATAATTTCTCAATAAAATATATAATTGCTCTCCGCTTACAGATGATGTTGAACGGGTCAAAATAAAAGTTTTCCGTGGCCCTATGCAAGAAAAAAATGGTGATGTTTTCGCTCCCTGGGGATACTGGATCCAACAGCCCGGCAGATAATTTGAATTGTGAATTGTTCTTATTTTTTCATGTAACAGCGACAAAATATTTCTTTTTTCTTTTATTCTACGTATTTTATAAATGATATATATGCGCACATCAAAAAATTAATTTTGCAAGAAACTTTATTTCCCATACGAATTATATTAAAGACGTTTATAAAAAAAAAAAAGATTTTCAATAATTATGTTACAATAGTTAGCTTCTACGATAAATAATTATATACTATGATTAATATTACTTAAATATTACGATTAATATCTTTGGAGCAAACTTCGGAACAAAAATATTAGATAGGAACGTGGAAATAAATATGTAAAGATAATAAAAGGATACGAGAAGAGAAAAGAGATATGTAC